CTTACTTACCCACCTTCTTACCTACTTACTCATCTATCTAGCTATTCTCACCTTCTGGGATTAGTAATTTCTATGACAATAAAGTTCTTGGGATGCGTTGGAAGAAAACAGTTGACCAGGAATGGTATCTCAATCAAAATGTGCCCAACAAGCTTTAAGCTTCCAGCGCCATGTAGGTACATGCTTCACTTTTTAAGTTCCAATTGCATTGTCGTAATACTTTCTGGCTTATTCCCTATCGTCTTTTAAGCTAATAAATATTTTCCCTGCGTCTAAACGAATGGAAGACATTCAAAATATTGACTTAACGCCTACGTGGATAACGTCGTAGTTTTTGTCTTTCTATGATTTATGATTTATCTACAATAAAGTTACAGGTCGTTGAGAGGAAAAATGAATAAGCACACCCTCCTCCCCCGACTAAGCGCCCTCCTTCAAACAAGCGCCTCCTTTTTAACTAAAATTTCAAATAAGCACCCGGACGCTTATTCGAGGAAATACGATGACTACCCACCTACCTATCTTTCGTTATATTTTCCAGCCGAACTAGCTCTTGTCTAGCTTCCTAGCTTCCTAGTTACCAACCTAACCGCCCCCCATACATACCTATGCCTACCTACCTACTCACACACGTAGCTACCTCCCTAAGCACTTCACTTCTAACCACGCACTTCTTGTATAAGCAGATTACGGATGCATTAAGATATCAAAAAGATCATTTCCGATTTATCAAGAGTGAGAGACCTGGTGCCGAAATAGACGCGCGAGGGCAAGGCTAGGTGCGAAGTCGCTTGCGACTGCACAAACAATGCACAACAACAACTTTATTCTCTATTCCTATTCTGACTACAGACATACATAATTGAAAATTCTTGTTACAAAAGTACATGATCGTATCAAGAAAAGTGGCTCCACTTTGATAACATTAGGCTTTGTTCTACAAGCGAGAATGACTCAATATAGCAATTTTTGAACAATGGCGCAACAGCCTCAGCACACACGAGGAATTTCTCGAAGTTTCCTATTAGCATACGAGCGGGAAATTTAAACGCTCGGAAAGACTAGAATTTAGTTTAGGACTATGACGAATTTGGTTTAGACGCACAATTACTGTACTGGAGAGAGGTGGTCTGAATGAGTCACATAACGTATATTGAGTTCACGATGTGTGTATGCTCGATGTGTGTATACCCTAACCCACATTAGCGGTCAATTTTTTCCTGGGGTAGACCATTGAGAGTTGACTCGACGAGACAAATTTACGCTACCCACTTCCCCGAAGCGGCTAATTCAGCGGTTAATTTTCCCCTGGGGTACTCCGGTGACAGTTTACCTGTCGTGTGCAAATATGCGCTACCCACCCTCCAAAAATAGCTAAATTGTCATGCCGAAAACTTTTTCCGATTAGTCGCGAACTTTTTCGCGTGGCTTCGGCCAAAGTCCCTCACAAAGAACAAAAGGACTATTGTTTAATACTTAATGTGAGAATTTGAGCCGGAGCAATAGACATTAAAATGGTTTGCCCCGCAAAGCTTGTTAAACTCGAGGATCCAAGAAATGCTCCGTCTGGTATTGACTGTAAATTGTTGAAGGACAAGTCACTGCCAGAAAAGTATGATAAGAAATCGACCAAATGTATATATTTTGTAAGCGGTACAGAGCTTCATTTCATATTAAACATACGGAATTTCGTCTACTGCAGAGGTATGCCTAAAGGGATATAAGCAGAGGGAAAGACACAGGTAGAGGCACAAAGGGAAAAATGACGACAGAAACAGGGAAATACACAGACAAATCAGAACTATCAGTTGATAAACCCGGAAACCCCAAAAAGGCCTGTGAAAGCTATTACGTTCAATTTTTGTTTTTTAACTTACAGGCTTCCGTTTATGGGTAACCTCCAAAATAAATCTCTTGATATCACTTCGATCTGATTGTTATCCAACGACCTGAAAGTTGACAGCATCTCAACGTTTTAGTCGTGCAGTTTTTCGTTCCTACCAGCTTTACCTCTTACTTACCCACCTTCTTACCTACTTACTCATCTATCTAGCTATTCTCACCTTCTGGGATTGGTAATTTCTATGACAATAAAGTTCTTGGGATGCGTTGGAAGAAAACAGTTGACCAGGAATGGTATCTCAATCAAAATGTGCCCAACAAGCTTTAAGCTTCCAGCGCCATGTAGGTACATGCTTCACTTTTTAAGTTCCAATTGCATTGTCGTAATACTTTCTGGCTTATTCCCTATCGTCTTTTAAGCTAATAAATATTTTCCCTGCGTCTAAACGAATGGAAGACATTCAAAATATTGACTTAACGCCTACGTGGATAACGTAGTAGTTTTTGTCTTTCTATGATTTATGATTTATCTACAATAAAGTTACAGGTCGTTGAGAGGAAAAATGAATAAGCACACCCTCCTCTCCCGACTAAGCGCCCTCCTTCAAACAAGCGCCCCCTTTTTAACTAAAATTTCAAATAAGCACCCGGGCGCTTATTCGAGGAAATACGATGACTACCCACCTACCTATCTTTCGTTATATTTTCCAGCCGAACTAGCTCTTGTCTAGCTTCCTAGCTTCCTAGTTACCAACCTAACCGCCCCCCATACATACCTATGCCTACCTACCTACTCACACACGTAGCTACCTCCCTAAGCACTTCACTTCTAACCACGCACTTCTTGTATAAGCAGATTACGGATGCATTAAGATATCAAAAAGTTCATTTCCGATTTATCAAGAGTGAGAGACCTGGTGCCGAAATAGACGCGCGAGGGCAAGGCTAGGTGCGAAGTCGCTTGCGACTGCACAAACAATGCACAACAACAACTTTAT